TAGCATAAACTAAGAATTAAAAGCAATTTTAATGAATTGATGAATAATTTAAGTGAGATGATTCCATGAAATAATAATCAACACAGCATTTCTTTTCAGTGAAAATCGGTTTAAATTGTTAGATCTGAGGACATTAAAGCCCACAGGGAACTGATACGTTATTAGGACAGATTTAGGAGTAGATGCTTGTTATTCTTTCTCCAGTAGTTTTCAGGGGGTTTTTATTTGTTTGTTTGTTTATGTTATTTCTGGAGTCTTGGAATTTGGGTTAATTTCAGCCATAGGTGTTGCTGGAGAGACAGAGATGTAAGTCTTCTCCTTGTCCTATGAATATGCTTTCTCAATAGCCAAGTCCATGAAAAGGGAGAGATGTCACCTGCCTTCCTTGAGCCCTTCCAGGCCAAGTCAGTCTTGGTGAAGAGGCTGTCCAGTCAACAGAACAGCTGCTCATCACCTGCTAAGTCTATTCCTAAAACATTTGACCAGGCTTTTAGAGGGCTACACATTAATTAACTTTGAACCGACTTTTATTCTGCAAAATTGCTTCTTCTTAAATCTCATTAATATGAGAGTGAGGAGATTGGATGCACAAATGAATGTTTTTAAAGGGGGAAGTATTTACTTGTTTCACTTAGTAGCCCTACAAATATGGAAATTCTAAACCTTTACATGAGGAGATACCTATATAGGGAAAATGGAGTACATTAACCACGAAGTCTATTTCTAGGGCCCTTCTGTAACTTGAAAGTTTGCATTTATATTTTCTGCATTCAATATTTTTTAAGGACTGTCAAGATTCTTGTAGAAACCTGGTCCCTGTACCAAAAGTGGTGTACCATGTTCTCAATGAGCTGCAGAGCACATTTGACGTAACACTTCTGGAAGCACTGTTCAGCGAGGTCAACATGCAGGAATATCCTGATTTAAATTACATTTATAAAAGCTTCGAAAAAGGTAATTAGCTTTATTATCTACCTTTTGATGTCCAGGGCCAGTTTTTTTCAGCAAGCATGTATTGAGCTCCTACCACATAACACACATGGTGCTGGGAATTTGGGATATAACAGTTAACAAAACACACATAACCGTGACCCTTCTCAAAGCTTATGGCGCAGTACCCACCTGGAGATCTGCTTAATTAGCCATTCAAGACTCAAGGGACAACAGAGCCACCGTGGCATCCAATTTAGACAGAAAAACAAATGACAGAAAGCCCAGCATCCCAACAGGGCAGCATCAGTTGCTCCTCTTTTGTGAGATCCCTTGCAGTAGGCTTAACTTTCAGGGACCCCTAGAGGGACAAGCTGAGTTACAAGAATCACCACATTGAAGGAAGACCCAAGTATAGTCCATCGGTATTCCCTCCCAGCCCACATGCAATTTACCAGTCACAGGTCATTTTTAGCCCTAATCCCAGGGTTGGCCTAGTAACACAGAAGAAAGGCCACTTTCATCAAATTTCCAGAATAATGAGCAAGAAAATTAATCCAATATCAAATTTGCCCTTAAAGGAAAAATGGTTTTATTAACATGTTCTCCACAAGGGATGAAACATTACTCAAATAATCACAAAAGACATTGTCTTCCAGGGACTATTTTTGTTGTTGTATTAAACTAAATCTTTGATTCATGATTTTTTCCTGGGAAGGCATAATTTATACTTTTCTAAACTATACACAGTTGAGAAATGTGTAGATATATATATACACACACACACACACACACACACACATATGTACAAATATGTATATAAACTTGTTTAGAAAATATCTTATTCCAACACAATTTGGTGTCAATGAAGTTCTCCAAATAAGGGATAGAGACATCACCAGAGAAATGCTCACGTGTCCGAGGCGGGGTGGATGTTATGGGATTATGGCCTAGAGTGTGAAAGGCTCTAGTTTGTCTTCAAAACAAGGACAAATTCATTTCCCTCAATCAAAGTGTGAGAAGCAGACGGTGGAGCTGATTCAAGAGAGATGCATCTGAGCAAGATTTTGGAAAGTCTAGCATATAAAATAAGCAATTTGAACTACTAGGTAAAAAGAGACACTAATGGGTTTATAAGCAAGGAAAAACATTTAAAAGGAGATATAAAGCACGTGGCTTGTTGATTTGTGTCAATAGTAATGTTTTCTAATTAGAACAAAGTAATTTCTACAGCAAATCATTCAAGTCAAAATAGATATATAGGAAGTCTAACACTCAGTCACAAATTTCAAGCCAGTATTATATTTGTAACCAGTATGTCCCCAGGTCATGGGAACAAAGGGAATGGCAGTTACCTTTCCTGGCCACATCTCAGGGGCTCTGGTCGTCTCCACAGGCTGCAGGGGATCCCCTTCCCAGATCCAGTGTCAACATCACATATGTTAGTTCCCAGGCTGACTCGTGCTGGGGTGACCCAAGTCTATACTTGCTGCCACCCACCTGCCCCTGGGAGGCGGGGAGGTCTCTGCTGCTGTCCAAGGGAGCTGCAGGTCAGAGACCAAAGCAGAAAGGCTGGGGACTGTGGCCAGGATGCGACAGGTCTCATAGTGCCTGGTCCCGACCTCCATCTCATGTGCTGAAGCCCCCCACCCCCATCAGAACACCTGCGCATGGGCCTCCTTCATATTTTCTGGACTTTGGGCCCTGTGTTCTCCTTGTACCTTCCACTTGATTTTGCTGGGATTTGAAACCATGTGCTGAGGAAGACAAAGCCCCTGTGGCTCCCAAAGTCCTGTCCATCTCACCCCCTAGTAGGCATTGTCTTAGGAGGTACTCCTGCCATCAGCACCCAGGCCCCACCACCTCCCAGTGTCTCCTTCCCAGAGTCTCAGCAGGGACCCATTCCCCAGGCTCCCTGGTTCATTTCCTTCCTCCTACATTTGCTGAGTTACCTACATGCAGGGGTCCTGGGCTGGTGTCCTGGCCTCTCCTCCTTGGTGGCCTCCCAGATCCTGGTCCAGGAGTCGTGGGGACATCCTGCACTCCCTCTTGCAGCTTCAGAGTCCTGTGTGGGATCTGGACCCCTATGGGGGCTCTCTCCCCCCACCTCTTGTTTTTCTCTTCCAGAGCTGCTCATCCTCCCCAACACCATTAAGCCCAGCCTTTCTCTTGTCTAGTCTCGTCTTTAAAGCTCTTGGACTTCCTCTTTTTATACACACAGATCTCCCTGGGATCCAGCCCCTCTCTAGAGGAAATCTCTGTTTTTTCCTTATAGTTTGAACAGTTCAGTAAATACACTTCACTTTCATTTTTCATTTTGACATGTATTTTCCCAGCCATGTGAAGTTTATTTTATATGACCAACAGGCTCAGGATGTTTCCATGACTCCTTTATTCTTGCATTCGAGTGGCTCCTTTCTGTGTGGGGAGCATAGCAGCTCCCTTGTTGGGGTTTCTCTTTCTGTTCGAGGATGATGGGGGAACATTACCATAAAGACTGGGACCCACTGAGCTCTGAGTGGACCTGAGAGCTGGAAATTCCTAAATGTGTAATTTTGAGATGATGTCCTGGGTCCCTGGTGGAGATTTCTAAATGTCCTCTTCTCTCTCTCCTTCAGTGATTCAAGAGAAACTTAATTGTGAAGGAAGTGACCAAGAAGAGAGGCAGGAGAGGCCTAATATCCAACTGAGACTTGAGCAAGGTGATTGAGACCAAGTACAAACCGATTCTCATCTGCTATGAGGAAAAGGAGAAGGGGAGGTGGGGCCCTCGTTCTGAGCAAAGATTGAGAATCAGGGAAGAAATGCTGAAGGGCCATGGAGAAGACAGGGAGGGGTGTTTGTATCCTGGAGGACTAGCTGTGACAAGAGACTGTTGGCCCCAAACTGAAACACAGCAAGAGGAACCTAGGGTATCAGTAACCAGGTTTAAATAGAATGACGACCTGGAAGTAATTGTGATTTAGAAAGATCCCTGTAGGAGATCAGTGTGAAGGTGTGAAGGCCAAGGACTATGGGCCCAAAGTCAACATCGAAGAGGAGATGCTTGATGATGGCAGAAGAAGGGACTGATTTAAATGTGGGGGTTGTTGTTCAAGAGTAGGAATATTCAAGGAGAAAAGCAGTCATATAGATGCAGAGGTGAGGAAGCAGTAGAGACATGGAGAAGGGGATGTGGGTACTTTGAGAGAGAAAGGAAGAAAAAGAAGAAATGAAGGAGGAGGGTGGGTAAGGGACACAGTCAAAACAGCCAAGTTATTAACGGCTCACCTAATTGGACGTGTCGTCCGACAGTTGTGGGTTTAGTGCCATTGGACAGTATTATCACTTACGTGTCCATTTTACCGATAAGGAAGCTGAAATCTATAGAGACCGGGTATGCAGTTGGCCTGAAGGCCAAACAAGTAAGGATGAACCAGGCATTTTAAACCCAGAGCCTGTGTTTGCAGCCCTGGATACTACCTGGTAACCCAGTAGGAAAGACAGAAACATGAAACAAAAATAAGGAAATATATGCAGAGAGAAAGATACAGAGAAAAGAATGTCAAGAGCTGAAGGAAGTGGAGGAGAATCAGACACTAAATCCTCATGGAAAGCCAACAACACAAATTAAAGATGAATACAGGGAGAGGGTGGAGGAAGAAGGGTGGGGAAGAGTCATCAGGGCTTTGCAGGAGCTAAGATAAGGCTGCCAGTCAGAGGCAGCTCTGAGGACAAAGGCAGATTCACTGTTTGTGGGAGTCAAGAGAAACCTTCACTAGTTACTGAATGGCTCGTGGAGGACATGCAGCGAGATGGCCAGGCCGAAGTGCTTTCAGCCAGGGATGCAGCTGACCCGAGTCTTCCACTCTGGGGACCGAGGTCTGACTGCAAGCATTGGATGAGATCCACCAGGTCCAGATGGTCTCTGTATTGATATCATCAAGGGGTCTTAAGCTTCTTGTTTATAAAAAAGAGATTAGGGGAGGATGGCACAGTCCATACTTCAATTTCTGAAATAGATTTCTACTTTCTTCCCCCTAGGATCTGGTGAAAGCTCATATCAAAGTCTGATTTGGTCATGCAGAGAGTCCTCATCTTATGATGGTTTGTTCCCATTGACTCTATTCTGTGATCCTTTGCTGTTTGTGTCCCATTGTGGAATGTGCTGGGGGGTGGGAATACATCTTTGTATCAAAAAATTGTCAATCTTTGTATCTGCAGTTTTTCCAAGAGTTTAGATAAGAGTCTTAGTGCTGTGAATTGCCTGCAACGGTCGCTCCTTCTGTACTCCTTAAATGCACTTGCTGCTAATTCCTGAAGGGCTTGGACATTTTGCCCGTATACGTGGCTTCACAGTTTTCTTCTCTGTCTTGCTTGATTTGGCCTCAACCGTGGTGCTCTGACTCATGTCCAACAGTGGCCAGTGCTGCAGGGAGAGTGGCAGGGGAATACAGGTGATGAGCATTCCTGGGGGGTGGGGGTACCTCCCCCATTGTGTCCTTCACGCAGGATCATGGACACTATTTGCCTCCCATGCAAACCCTCTCCCAACATCCCTGAGGCAGAGACCAGGAGCTGCCCTCCAAATACCAGACAGGCCTCCGAAAAACAAACCCCTTTGGTAATGTAGCAACCAATAACCACTTTTTAAAACTCTTGATGCATAACAGTCCCTTAAACCTCCCTTAATGCATAACACTCTTAATAATGTTATTATTTAAATATTATTAATTTAAAACATTAATCATAATGATTTTTTTTCTGATCATGGTATCTCATATAGCGATGCAGCCAACAGCTCATTTAACCTTCCTCAAACCCTGAAAATGAGGTATAGATGATCCCTGTTTTTCAGAATAGAATGAGTCAGTTTAGAGAGTTTGGTTATTTGTACAAATTCACCCAACTGAGACTTGGGATTGAGTTCTGCTGGGGTTAGTGTCAGAGCAGGAACTCTGATGCCCATGGCCTGGCTTCAAATTCTGCACTGTTATCTTGGGGAAGTGACTTCCCTTATTGGTCCCTTGGTTTCACCATCTATAAAATGGGCATAATAATATTACCTACTTCAGAGGGTGGTGGATTTTAAATAGGTCATATCATGTAAAGCATTCACAGTCGTGCCTGGGGCTTCATCAGCGTTCCATGCATTCGTTATTATTACTACACTTAATTATCATTGTTTGTATCTGGTGCCACAGTCTAAGCTTTTAGTCATTGCAGTAAACTTTGGGATTTTCTTCTGTCACAGATGTCCATTGGATTTACTGATTCCCTAGTCTGGAATAGCTGTGATAAAAGCAATACCAACTTCTGGCCCAGGAAGTTAAATTAAGGGCTACATTTTCCACATACTTAGAGCACACCATTCTATAATAAGTTTTATGTCTTGGGGTGAAGGGTATAGCCCAGTGGTAGAGTGTGTGCTTAGCATGCACGAGGTCCTGGTTTCAATCCCCAGTACCTCCATTAGATAGATAGATAGATAGATAGATAGATAGATAGATAGATAGATAGATAAATCTAATTACCTCTCCCCCCCAAAATTTTCTTTTAAAATAAATTTTATGTCTTTCTTCCATGACTCTCCTTAGGAAGTGAGTAACATAGAGTCTCAGGGAACTTCCCATACTGTGAAAGTTTCTTATGTAGCTTCCATTTGGGATGTGTTATTTAAGAAAGGTTGTTCTAAATTAGTAATACACTTTTATAAAACAAAAAGTTTTCAGAGTGGTTTTTGAAAACACAGTTATACTTTTAACAAATCACATTTATTCAAAAAGTTAACATTTAAAAATACCCCTCAAAATGCATGAATACATATTAGCCATTCATCTATTGGTACTGCTGATGAGAACAGGAAGGGGTGAGGGGATGGAATTGTGACTAGCAATGGGCAGAAGAGAAGTGATTCTGTGTGTGTGTGTGTGTGTGTGTGTGTGTGTGTGTGTGTGTGTGTGTGAAGGGTGTAAAGGGAGGAGGCAATGAAATACTTTAAAGCTCACAGTGTGATCTGGGGGCAACCCTGCCAGAAAATGAAACCCAGAGCATCTCAGTGATAGGGAAAAATTAATATTAACAGAGAAACTTCCACTTACAAGTCAAATGATGCACACCAACCATCAATAAGTGTGTTCAAGAGTCCGACCCAGCAAGGACAGCAGGCTGTGACGTACACAGGCGAGGGAAGAACTCTGTCTCATGCCCAACAGCCCAAGGGGAGGCTCCGAGGTGCTGAAGATGTGGCACAAAACATGCACCAGAGCCCACATTCTATATTAAAACCTGGAGAAAGAATTTTAAAATCATGCTTTATATAAATAACTTTGTTTAGAAAAATAGCAACAAATGAAAAAAATTGAAACTGCACTGAAAATATAGTTATGTATTCATACATTATTGAGGCTACTGGGAACAGAGTGGGATGGGTCGATGGAATCCATAATGAGCAGAGGAGGTTTGCCATAAGGGAACTGAGTGTGTGTTGGTCCAGGGTGGTTGTCCAGAGATTCATTCCTTACCCTCCTCTGCTCTGCTCTGCCCTCTATCTCCAGCCACTGGCATCTGCAGACTTGCTTGCAGGCTTCTTTGCTGCTGGCTGCCTGCTGGATTCCTAACGTGGGAGACATTAACAAGAGAGTGAGGGTAAGGGAGAAGCCAGGTATTTCCCCATCACCACTTTCAGCAGCAATTCTGGCAGTAGCAGCATCCCAGCCATGGCTCCACCGTCCACCAAGCAGGTCAGCCATGGTCCAGCTTTTAGCTACCCAGAGCCCCAGTCTCTGGGCTCACTCTCAGTCCCTCCCATAGCTTTCTGGTGATTATTCTTTAGGTTGCCGCATTGTCCCATTTGAATTTCTCTGCTCTCCCATCAACTGTGTAACCAGTCTCCTGGGTTAAATTCCCGATGCTTTAAAAGCTTAGAGTGATTTGTATTTTCCTATTGGACCCTGACTGTCGCAAGAGGTAAATAAATTATCTGTGAATCACTACGTGGTTTAGGTACAACTCCATCTGAAAATGGATTCTTGGAGCACCTCCGTGGAACAGCACAGATAAATGCAAAGAGGAAAGATACAACCAGCGACCAAAATGATGCACTAGAAAGCCAGCAAGCAAATGAACAATGTGCCCAGGAGTCTGAACCAGCAGGTAAGACTGGCTGCGTTTGATGAGTGTGGAGGGGCCAAGAGGTCCTGACTGGTAGTAGGGAATAAAGTAATGCACAGCTCAAGGAGACATCTATTAACAAAGCATGGGGAAATCACACAGACACACAGAGGACAGGAATGGAGCCTGATACGTTGAAGGGAGAGAACTGGAGGAAGAAAGGGAGAACGGAAAAACTAAGACAGAAGGTGAAGTGTTGCAGAGCCTCATCGGGGAAGAGAGACAGAAACAAAAGCCAGAAGAAGTCAGGGGGAGACTGGCTCCAGAATCAATGAAGCATTACGCTTTCATAGGGTGAAGGTGGCAATTTATGCAGAGAGACTATAAGTAGAAACATAAGGAGAAGAGAGAAGTCAAGTGACATGCAAGGAAATGGAAATGGGGCAAAGCAAGTCTCTGTCTGAGGTCATCTGTGATCTTTTTTTTATCCTCAGAGTCTTATGAACAAGTACCTGTCCAATCAAATAATGGAGATGCAGGAAAGGAGACGCCCAGCTCATTGGCCTGTGATGAAGAAAGTAATTATTACTTACCTTACCAGTTTTCTCATTACACCTTTATCTATGGGAGCAAAAGCTTTCCTTTGCTCTCCCATACTAACATCTTTCCCATCCTAACACCATCCAAGACATACAGCCTTGTACACAATCTCTGACTGATTTTAGCAGGTATAAAATGCAAGGGAGAAGTAAGGATGAGCTCATTAATGAAGGGCATATCCCTGGGAAGAAAATGCAAAGAGGGAGAATAGGAAAAGGTGTGCTGGAGAGCACCAAATTGTAAAGTACTAGAGTGAGATAGATTTTAGACAAACTGACATAGAATCAAAACAGTGCCATGTTGTGGAGTTGGTGAAGAGAGATAAGTTGCAACTTCTTTTTCAGCAGTTATAATGGAAACATGGAAAGCATGCAAGATGCTGCAGGTCAGATTTGCAAGTAAGGAAGCCCAGAGGAAGGACCCTTTAGAAAGGAAGTGGCAGGTGGAGGGACGTGGTGTGGTGGACAATGGCACAGGGGGAGAACTCTGGTGATGATTGGAATGCTTGAGATGAGGAAACTACTTAGAAAGACAAAATTAATATATTGGACATATACACAGGTCATATTAATCATTAAGAAATAGGAACAGACTAGAAAAAAGTAGGAAACATAGCAGAGAATGGATATATCGCAAAAGCAGGTAGGGCACAGCAGGGCCAGGTCTAGGGTGAGGCAGGGCGACCCTGGGGCACATATAAGGAGGATCTCACTCTTGGCACCTTCTTGTGCCCTGGGCATCTCCTTTGCCTCACACGAATCCCTGCTGGGCCCTGGGGACAGTGGTTAAAAAAATGTAGAGGAAAAGAGATGAATAGAAGAAGATACAAAGGGAAAAGAACAGCAGTAGATAGAAAAATGGGGATGAGAGCGCCACAAAGAGTAAGTTAAAGGACAATGAATGAAAAATCAGTAGAGAATGGACCAAATACAGAGAGAGAAGAGAGATATCAAGACATTATCCCATTTGGGGAGACAATCACTAGAAAGAAGGCACAGGGGTCTGTTCCTAATACCATTGAGAAGGGTGAGGTGTCAGCAGTGATCAGAATGGTCTCATAACCCCCTCAGATAAAGATACGCTTCTCCCCCGGCATCTGATGCTCTCCATGGTTTCAGTACCATCTATGGTCTGTTGAAACACACATCTCCAGCCCAGACTTGATCTCTGTATTCATTCCTCCAAGTACCTGAAGGTCTTTATTCAAAGATCTGATGGACATCTCTGTTTAGAAGCTGTATCACTTATCTACTGCTATGTAACAAACAGTTCCAAAATTCAGTGGATTAAAACAACCATGACTTTTTTTTGTCACTTCTGTCAATTCTTTAAAATACCTGCAGCCTGTCTGTTTTTTTTTCCATTCTCTGCATGCTCACTCTAATCCAGATCCCTACCTCTTCTCACTTCATGTAGAGGAACAGTATCCTGCTGGCCTCCTCTCTCCTATCTTGCTTCCTTCAGATTCATTCTCTGCACTTCAGAGAATGGACCTTTCATAAATTCAGACTGGTTCATGTGCTTTTCCTATTTATAACCCAGTACCTTCTTGTGGCCCTCAGCACTAGGTCAGTGCTGTATAGTGTGATACTAGGCAGATACCTGCCATGCAGCTGCACAGTTCCCCATCATTGCCTCTCTCCCCCTCCCACCACATTCCTGCTACACCAACTCCCTTTAGTGACTTGAATTTTCCAAGCTCTCTCAATTATACTTCTGCCTTTACATGTACTTTTGGAAAACAGTTTGGTATACTCTTCCAAAGTTGAAAATACAACATAGCCTATGATTTAGCAATTACATTCCTCAACAGATCAACAGAAGTGTATATTATGTTCATCAAAACACTTACAAAAGAAAGTTCATCTTCGTAATCATAACATTATTAATAGAAGTCTAAAGCTTGAATGAGCACAAATGGATACTGTATGGTTTTATTTTTAATGGATAATTTCTACAATGGAATATTATATAGGAATGAGAATAAATATACAAAATGGGTACAGATGACTATCACACACATAATGTTGAGAAAAGAAACTAAATCCACCCTCTGCCAAAAGACAGAGAGACAGAGAAAGAGAACTAGGGTGAATGATTCCATTTATACAAATTTATATAAATTTTGAACTGGCAAAATCAAATATTGAAAGTTAAAGTGGTGATTAACTTGAGCAAGATTGATGGGGACAGTTAGTGGGGCATCACTAAGAGGTTCCTGGAGTGTTAGTAATCTGTTGCTTGGCCAAAGTTATGGTTACCCAGATAAGCTTATTCTGTGATAATTCGAAATGTATAATTTATAAATTTTTATCTATGTTATACCACAATTGTGATTTTAATTTTTGAAAAGCAAAAAAAAATTATCAAAAAGGGTGAGAAAATTGGTGAAAAGTAAAAACAAATAAAAAAAATAAAATTTCAGAGTGGAGAGAGGCACAAAGGAAGAGACAGAGTTGAAGACCAGGAAAGGAGAGGGTGGGGGTGCACATTCCCGCTGCGGTGGAATTACAGGAAGTAGGGCTTGTTAATGCTAGTGAACAGTGCTCGCTCCGTTTTGGGGAAACAAAAGAAAATTCTTTGTTTATTACATTTGACCCAGGAGCAAAGCTACCCAATCATGGAATCCAAATCAGTTCCTGTTCTGTCTGTCTGGTGGATATAAAGAAGGAAAAACCATTTTTTAACTCAGAAGTTAAACGGAAAGCCCAAGCAAGCACCAAATGTAACCAGACATCTGACATAATAGGTAAGTCTGATGGAAAGAATGTGTAACAGGAATCACAGGAATCGGGCAAGAGGCTGGGGCATGTCGTCAACATCCAGCAAGTCAGTCTAGGTGGCCTTGGACAGAAGCTGGAAGGGGAAGGAGCCACAGCCTTACATAGTGAGTTTGGTAGAACAGAGACCTCAGGAACTAGAAAAATATCAGTAGCCAGGGAAGGGATACATTGGGAGTTTGAGATTTGCAGATACTAACTACTATACATAAAATAGATAAAAAACAAGTTTATACTGTATGGTACAGCGAACTATATCCAGTATCTTGTAGTAACCGAATGAAAAAGAATATGAAAACAAATACATGCATATGCATGGCTGAAACATTATACTATACACCAGAAATTGACACATTGTAAACCGACCACATGTCAATAAAAAAGAATGAAAAGTTAAAAATGCAAAAAAAGAGAAACGATAGATAATGAGTATTGATGTCTGAGAGACTATTTCTAAAGCAAGAGAAGAAAGTATGAAAGGAGAAGATAAAGAAAAGGGAAAAATTCAGAAAGTCAAGATGTTTATGAGATGAGATGAAAGAGAAACCCATGAAGATAAAGAAAGGTATAAAAAGATACGATCAGCAGGAACAGGCATAACTAGGGGAAATGGGCCAAGCAAAGAGGAAAGTGAAGAAGTAAAATGAGAATGAAAGAAAGAGGCAGAACCAAGTAGAGAGTCAGAGGTAGACTGAGAGGTAGATTGAAGTAGAGGGAGGAGGAGGTGGGGGAGGAAGACTGAAGATGGTGGAGGAAGAAGGGTGCCGGCAGGGTGTATGAAGCTGCCCTCTGTGTGTGAATATCTTCACTTTTATGCAGGGCCTGGAGCAACCTGCAAGTCAACACATTCTAACACAGACCACGGTGCCCTGAGTTAACTTCAGTCTTAGGTCTTCCCGTGTTCTCATTCTGGGGTTTCCTGCTGCATGGGCTCCACCCTAATGTCCTAAGGGGTTTTACTCTTCTGTGCAGTAATCAGCAGTGAGGACTCTGCAGAATCCAGTGATGAAGATGAGACCCCAGAAGCCTCCACATCAGCACAGGCGATTCCTGGTAAGGAACAGGGAGAGCAAGGCCTGGGCTGTAGGAATCTGAACTAGAGCTGCTGTTCCCTGAGCATCGTATTCTGAGCCCCTTCTGTACCGTGGCCAGGATATCCTGGAATCCCATTCTTCGTATTTGTTTTACTGAACTTTTGAGGGAAATGCAAAGAGATAAGACATCCGTATCTCAATCTGAGAATGAGGTCTATTAATGTATGGGTCCCATTAATCAATATGTGTATGCCCTGTATTGATTGTATAGTAGAAATAGGCCAGCCAAGTAATGAGTGTATTTCAAACTACTAGTTGCTGTGCCTGCAGGGTGTTGGATTTATATAGTGATCTCTGTAGGGAACAGGAAGCTAAATACAGTTGACCCTTGGACAATGCACAGGTTAAGGGCACCAATGCTCAGCGCAGTTGAAAATCAGCTTGTAAATTATAGTCATCCCTCCAGACACGCAGGTCTGTATCCACAGTTTTAACCAATTGTGGATCATTTAGTGCTATAGTATTTATTACTGAAAAAAATCTAAGTTCAAGCGGACTTGCGCAGTTCAAGCCCGTATTGTTCAAGGGTGGGCTGTATTCTTTCATTGGAAGGTCGTATTGTCATCTGATCACAAACTTGAATCGTGTCATAAGATACCTCACCTAGCTATCTAGTGTTAGCAGACATAAAAACTTCTGATAAGGTATTCTGAAACCCAAAGTACTGTTTCTGACAGAATTATTCAACAAGTCATGACATATACAGTGGTTTTTCAAGGGACCTTTATAATCAATATCTTACAACAACCTTAAAGAGTAAGCAGGGTAGACATTTCTACCTTTGTTTCTAGATGAGAAACACCATCACATAAATGTTTCAAGGTCTTCTACAAAGTCTCATGGGCAACTACAGGGAATAACAAGCCTAGTGTCCTGGATTCTGCATTGTTTTTTTAAACTGGAGCTTGAAATGATTATCAAAATGTTGTTTCCTCAATCTTATGGGTATCCTGAGTTGTCATAAGATCTGTAGCTCTTTAGGATAAATTGGTGATTTTTTTTTCCCTTTCTACTTTCTAGACCCAGACAATATTAGAAACATGCCTATTTAGAGAAACACGCTAGGAAAAGTCCTAAGAACAAATAAAAATGTTACCTGATCTTGATGCTACAGAAGAGTAATATTTTAAATAATACAGTCAATGCAATTGCTCTCTAGATCTATCAGAATCAAGTGTAAATTGGCTTCAGTTTTAAGGGAGTCCACTTTCCACTTTTGTCTTAGTACTAGTAGAAGATTGTCCCCAAACACATTTGTGGCTCAGACATGTGAGAAGATTATTTCTCAGCCTTGCAAACGGTTGAAGGGGGCACCAAGTTGGTGGGGAGGATGGGTGCTCACAGTCTTGATCACAAGGTTTCCAAGTCTCCCCACACTGGAAACAGCGATAAAGGAGGTGTGGAAAGACCATAGAAGGAATAAGAAGCAGAAGAGAGAGAAGGGTAGTAGGATGGTAAGTTTCAAACAGAGCAAAGCTGCCCCTTGCAGTTGAATTGTCTCTGCTCTGGGGGCAGAGAATGGAGCACCACTAACCTACAAGGCAGACCAGGCTAGCCAGGGTGCCGACCATGCTTTGCATGAGTTTTCAAGACTTTCCAAGTTTTCTTACTAGGGATCTTCCTGATGAATGGGTTCCTTGGTCACACACCCAGGCACCTCAAGAATCCTATTCCTTTGTGCAGTGACCAGTACTAACCTTGACTCCTTAGAATCAAGTGAGGGAAGAGAGGCCCAAGAAGCCACCTGTCACAACCCCAAGTCACTCACATAAGAAGATAAGGATTGCACTCCTGGATGACAAATACTTACAGTCTAAATCCCGAGCTCTGTTTTCCTGATGAATCTTATTCTGAGCATTCTCCACATGCCTTGATTTGATTACTTCTAGGGTACCATTTTCCCCATTTAACTTCTCTGGCCCTGTTGGGAAATGGAAAGAGGGAAGAAGGCATTATATATAAATGGTTGTTTAACTGAATGAGCCCTAGTAAAATGATACTTTTTTTTTTACTACACACTATCCTATCTATTAAGCTAAAGAATGGAAATAGTGCGCTTATTCTCTAGCATGTTTTTAATTCTCTAAAGCCTAGCAAACGCGTATTCCTCTGTCTGTTGTTAATGTTGTCATTAGTCCCCAGCTTAGAAAGTCCTCATGGAATAATTTGAGTTGCTATTGAATTATAGATGGAAAAAATGGCTTCACACACAAGTACTCTCAAACCCCAATTGTAGCTAAGCCATTGGCTTACACTGCAATTTCTCACAGGGTTTTTGTAAATAGCCTGCATTTTGTTCTTACAAAAACCTTGACAGGGAGATAGATAGGGTAACCAGGTTATCCCAGCTTATAGATGAGGAAACTGGAGCTGGTAATGTGTTAAGGATCTGTTACAAATTCCCATGGAAGGTAAAAGGCGGAGCTGGGCAGCAACCCAGCATCACCCCCAACATAACATCAGGCTGTAGAGTGATTTTCAAAAATACCTTCGCAAATAAGGTATCTTTTTATGTTTACCACACCTAGAGGTAAACCGGCTTTTCCTTTCTTGGTTCCTTTGTCATGCACTGAGAACTTTAAGGCACATTTTCTCCATTCTGCAGTGATTGACTCTTCAGCGGACGAGGCGACCTTGGGAGCCTATAGCTCAGCACTGGGATGTGATCCTGATGATGAGGGTAAGGTCTGCCTCCCGGGTAAGAAACAGAGTGGAAGCAGAAATACATGCAGATAAGAGAAAGAGACAGAAATGAACATCATTGTATTTTTTTTATCATTGTGTCTTTATAGTCCTAGTCCTGTCTACAATGTGAGTAATCATAAGATTTACAACTCTTTTATAGATTACTGGTTGTATTTTCCTTTCCTTCCTAGATTCTTCGGATTTTGAAAATACATTTATTTATGGAATAAGCAATAGGAAAAGACGTAAGAACAATTAAAACTCTTGATGCAACAAATGTTTTTCTTGTCTACAAAAGCTTCACTCAATTTTTGGTTTTATTCTTTAAAATAAAACAATAAACTCGTCGGTATTTCAGATGATTCACATTATACATTTTGAATTAGGTGAGCTGGGCTAATTGATGTCATATGTAGACCTCAAGAAGTTCAATGTCACAGTGCAATACAAGTTTATTCTTCATTCACATAAAAGGATAGAGTAGTTCCAAGGGTGGAGGGGTGCTCACTGAGGATCCAGTTGATGGAGGTTCTGACATCTTGAAAATGTTACTTCCATGATCCTCCTGGGTAAGAAACAGAGTGGAAGCAGAAATACATGCAGACAAGAGGAAAGAGTAAGAAATGTAAGAAATAGTGACCAAAGGGTGTGCCTTCCATGGCAAAATTTTGCCCAGTCCCTCCCTTGAAGGTAGTTCCTGTTTTGACCAACAGGTCAGATGGAACCATAGGGTGGCTTGGTAGTAGAGATATCCGCACCCTACCTACATGAGCTTCCCTTTTCCAAATTTCCTTTTAAAGAATCCCATGCTGGACTGATCCTAGGACACAGACTGAGATTGTAAAGGAATTTTATTTCTTTCTGCAGGTTTCAGCGGTGTTGACACTTCAGAATTGAATAACGAAGAGCCTCGGGAAGCGTCTAGCTCAGTCCTAAGAAATGGGTCAGGTAAAGAAGATTAGGATGCCAAGCCTTGGCCTGCGCAATGTCAGGAGTCTGAATTAAAAACTACTGCTTCCAGATGCATTTTATTCTGAACACCTTGACTAATTTGTATCCCGTTAATCCTGGGAAGTACTTTCTGGATTTTAGATAATGGAAGGAGGCAAGAATGTATTATAAATTCATGTTTAAAGGAATGAGTCTTGCTTACTAAATGTATGTAATTTTATATTCCTATTGTAGTAGAAATAATTACCAAAATGATGGTACCTTTTAAAACGCTTACTGTCATGCCTCCTAACACTAAGATCCTAGATTTCTCCAGTGATATACTGGCTGACACTAATGTCATCTGTAATTGTAAAAGCCTCGAAAGACAACTGGTCCTGCTGTGCAATTACAGACAGAAATAAAAGCTTTGTTCAGATCAGTGATTCTCAAACTTTCGTATAGTTTTTGACAGATATTCATTACATTGTAATTGGACTGTACCATGATACTTTTAAAGTCCTTTGGCAAATAAGATCTTACTTTGTCATCACAATATCTTTAAGACTTAGGCAGGCTAACTCTTGCTTCCTCATTCTGTGATGAGGAAATGAATGTATAAATGTATAAGGGTAAAAAGGGGTGAGGATTTTATGTAACAGGCAGGAAGATAAGAGCTGAGTACATGATCAGAAGCCAAAGAGGAGATGTGAGGGGACTGGCGCATTCACAGGGGAATGTATCAATGCTTGATGCAAGAAAACTTATTTAACAACAATAGTAAATACAGATGTGTATATAAATGTATATATATTGGTGGATGTATAGCCACCAATATTGGTGTGGATATTAATATAAGACACAGAAGAGAAATCAGGGACAGAGAAGCTCTTAGAATGAAAGCGATGGAAATAAAAAAAAATGTGTTAGGCAAGGCAATGATTGAAATTTGAGGAAAAGGAGGAGGATGAGGTGTGGCTACATAGGAGACAGAGCAAACTTCTGTTGAATATGAGGTGTAGTTGTTGGAGCAGGTGTATTTTTCCTGAGCCCATCTGAACTATGAACACAGATCAGCATGACCACATCAAAGTGTTATCATCGATAGTCTGTCATTTCCTTATTTCTTTTCAGTGTCCTGTGGAGTCACAGGTCTTAAAATGAATAGGGGAAGAGAGTCAGAAGAGGTGCCAGCCTCTTAGCATGTGATGGAGAAGCCAATTATGATACTAACTATCAATTATCTTGCTTTTCCTGTCTGCACAGAGGAAAAGTTCTTCCTTCTTTACCTACCTGTCCCCCAAAACATTGCCGCACATGCACACACAAATACAGATGCTCATATATACAGACAGACGTATGCACAGATTTAAGCTGCTTTCGACAGGTTTGAAGGAGCCAAAAGAGGAAAAAGAACTGGGCTTCTGGATGGAGAGAGGTGACACTAAGTGGATAATGTAAGGAGAAAGAATGGAAAAGTTAGGCTGGAAAGATATTTGAGTAAGTTTCTTCGAATTAAAAGACATCTGAGTAAATTTCAGGGTTTTCTAAGTGGACATGAAATCCAAATATCGCCAGATTGGGAAGTTTTGAAGAGGAAGATGGGTAACTTTCAAGTTACCTCTCAGAGTTTACCAGAAACATGGTAATAAAGTCCATAACAGGCCTGCGATGTAGAAAGCTCATAGGGAACTGGCAAATGTAATAGTGGCCAATAGTGTGGTCAAGGTTGAAAGAGCAGGCAGTGGTGACAAGGAAAGTGGTAAACTGAGAGATGAAGCTAAATGTGGTACGTGAGGGAAACTTTGCGAACTTGTTGAGTGAATAGGAAAAAAAGTCCACTTTCTGTATCCCAACATTTGGAAATTTGTCTGGAAACAATTAGTTTATTATAGTATTTATATGAGAATATTTATTTAAAGTATTTTATTAATTGATCTATATACATATATACACATAAATGTAATAAACAGTATTTCTGGAAAAGAATAGTATCACATAAAAGTAAACAAATAGGTAAAAATGTCATCAATGAATGGATTGAAGAAGCATATAAAGAAAAAATAGAAAAACAAACATAGGGACTTTTGGCAAAGAGAAAAAGGGAAAAGAGAAGAAGCAGACTAAAAGGAAGGGACAAGGACAGTGAGAAACAATAAAAAAGAGAGAGACTTCATAGGTAGCGCCATCCTGTGATGTAGGAGTCAGGGAAAGGTGGATGGTCTGAAGGGAGGCGGTGAAAATGAAAATTACTTATGAATCATCATAAGAGCAGAGCTCCAAGGACTTGAGAAGTGTTCCTGCATCATGTGCTTTTCAAAAAGTGTGCCAAGAGGCCAAGAAGCAGGGACTGAAGGAAGTCAAGCATCTCACATGATGAGTAAGGCCACCCAAGGACTTAGGGCAGAGGTGGTTCAGCAGACATCACAGAGCCTGGGGGAGCTGTGGTGGGTGATCAGGGTTCAAAGAGAACATCAAGCAGCTCACAACAGGGAGTGGCCAGTTATGGAGGGCGAGGGTCACAGGGCCAGAGCTGCAAGTTGTCAGGAGTCTGAAATCAGAGCTCCCATTCCTGTTGCACTTGACTCTGAACACACTTTGACAAAGAATGCGTCCAGTCCACATCAGAATCCTGTTCTTTGCATTGTTCTCAGCATTCGCTTGGCCTGATCCTTCGGGGAACTGCAAGGAAGCAAGAGATTATTATGAAGTCGTGTCTAGCAGAATGGGTACTGTTGATTATACACGGATGACGTAGTTGAAATACACTGGTAAAAATGGCAGTAGCTCGTTTACTGTGTTAGCGTATCAATAACAAACTGCTGGATTTATATAGTGACATCCACCCTTGTCCATGGAGCAAAGATATCCATGTGTTCTTCTGCTGGTAGATAATAGTATAACTTTGTCATAACCTTGTAAAGGCATCAAAAGACAAATAAGTGGTCCTTCTACCTGTCAGGAAAAAAGACCTCAGGTAACTAACTATTCTTAAACTCAGCATACAGTTTTGAAGGATGCCCTGCAGCATGTTATTGATTTATATAGTGATTTCTCATTAGCTTTTGCAAACAGGACCTTATTCAATCTTAATTTTAAAGCTTAAAGCCTGAACAGGATAACTTTTGCTATCCCTGTTTCATAAATGAGGAAACTGATGCACAAGGGTAATGAAGAGATTTTTCAAAGTTTTTACAATTTTTAATGTTTTTACAGTTTCAAAAATTTTAGTTTCTGATCACCACCTATTACTTTCTAGATACCATGGATACAAGAAGCAATTCTACTTTGGGAAAAGACAGTGGGACAAGAAGTAAGACTGCATAAGAATTTACTTGATTTTTATGTTACAAACAATTTTAATGTTAAAGTTTACTATTGTCTGCTATACCTTTAATAAGACAAAAAATTAGTGCCTTTTAAAGTAACTATTTTTTTCAAAATGATTATATCTTCACGTTGTTTTTTTACTCTGATTTTAAAAAATATATGTCTTAAAAACATTGGTATATATCTTTCTAGAATTTTTTATGTATGTATTAACAGATTTTGTAATGTAGTTTTATTTTTCTAAATAGGGTAATTCTATGCTTACTTTCCCTTTTCTTGCTATTTAAAATTAATATATGATGCCTGAAAAATAAAAATATTTGACATTTTAAATTAAGCTACAAAAAGTTTTTTTTTAAGTATCTTTTTTTAGTGTGGTTGAGTAGTTTTCAATTGATTGGTCATTTGTTTTTCTTCTTCATAGAATTCTTTGTCATAGAATGCTGGGTCATTGTTTCCTATTGTGGTGTTTGTCTTTTTCTTACTATGCTGAATGAATATAGAAATCCTTATGTGATATATGGACATTAAATCTTGGCCTTATATGTTCCTAATATTTTGTCCCATTTGTTATTTTTCTTTTAGGTTTTATAATGGAATATTTTGTCCTAGAGAAGTTATAAATTTTTAGGTAGTCAAATTTGTCAGCTTTTTTTCTCTCTAGTTCTTTGGTTTCCTATCATATTTATGATAGCCATTTCTAGCTGAAGATTTTAAAAGTATTGTTCTATATTTGACTCTAAAATGTTTGAAGTACCTGAACATTTTAAACATTTACCTCCATAACCCTGTGAGTTTTGTCTCTTCGTGTATATGTGAGATTGGAATTTTTAAAATATTCCCTACACTATTATATCATGATTTCAATCGCTGCCTTGATCACACAGTGCCATTACTTGTCTATATATCAGTTTTCCTTTTATAATTGGAGGGGCTGCGGAAGGGAAAAGTGAGCTCGGAAGTAGCACTGGGACTGAACTTTAGAATCAACTCAAGAAGATTCCTCAAGAATTTTCCTATGCTTTAAAAAAATTATATGTTTGTTTCTATGAATATCTTTTTCCCATTACAGAATAGCTAGAATTAATTTAAATGAGACAAAATTCTTAAAATCTTTATTTAAATAGGAAATCTATGGTCATTGTGTTACCTATTTGCACATGAGGAAATCAGAAGCCTAAGGATCTTTTTCTGATTCAATATAAAGTCGTACAAGCATTTATATAGTTTAAGGATCCATATGTCACTTAAAATACTATGGCCAGGACCCCAAATTATCAAGACAATCAATTGGAGTTAAGTTTCTTAGGAAATTGGCTTCATAAGAAAGAGCAATGATTTCTAACTCGGGGCAGTATTACAAGACTCCTTCAAATAACTCTTCCAAGGACAAATTTATGTTACAGAGAACAGAACAACTTTATCACAGAGAACAGAACATGTCTCCATAAGATTGATCTTTTTATGAAATTTCTCAATTTAATACTATCAAATTGGATTCTTCATGTTAGTTTTACGATACAGAATGCTCTCTCTCTTCCTCCAGCTATGGCTTAAGGGGACTTTTCCTCCCTCTATTTCAATAATTTCTTGTTAGTTATGAAGATTTACATTTTAAAAATCTGGCCTCTGGAATTTGATTAGTTAGCCCTATAAGAAACAGAGGCTCATAGGGTTCAATTTTGCTGGCAGAAACAGAAAAGGGCCTGAAAAACATTTTACCTAGAAACAGTAAAATAAGATGTATACGGATTTTTCTACTATAGCCTCCCATCTTATTGCTTAAATCTGAATCAGCTTCAGATCTTTTATCTTTTTATTTTCCAGTTTCCTTTCTTGCCTTCACCTAAATACATAATGTGAATGGTTTATTCAGTATTTAGGTGAGGGTGCTTGTGATGTCTCTTTTTAAAAAAACTATCTTATACAATAGTTCATCCTATAGAACATGGCAGGACAATTCACAGTGACTCCTGCTTTCACAGAATAAGGCAGTGAACCCAGAGCTTCCCTTTTTCTTAAGCTCTAAGTTTCACCCAGAGGCAAAGAGTCAAGGGTCTCATTTGCAACACAACTCAGGATATGGTCACAACACTGGTTCCCAGTGACACATGTGTTTGTAGACACAGCCCCACAATCTAGCAACTTTCAGTTCTAAATAGCAAGGTGGGAACCTCCATATTTTTCCACCATGTTGGAACAGAGAAAGACTGATTATACAAGGTTAGACCAGTGTCATGCCCAAATGCTTATAGAGTTATCTCCTCCTCCAGCTGTCCTTTCCCCAAGTTGAAGGTGTTAGCATCACAGGAATTCCATCCTCCTGCTGCATGGCAGGAGGGAGAGACTCTACATTAGAAACTGTTAAGCCTCTGCATATTTATGCATCCAAAAGGTGTTGGAAGAGTAATTTAAATGACTAAATTAATTCTATCAGTTTGTGAAAAGTTTAATCCAAATATATGATTGTATAAAATATATACTTAAAGCCAAAAAAAAGACATTAAAATAAAGGAAGGGATAAAGAAATGTCAGGAAACTACAAATTAGAAGGTTGGTAATTTTTGTTGTTAGTTCTTTGTCACAGATGTTGATGTAGTAATCAATGTTGTTGGCTAATGAGGATTCTTTGTAGATCTCATTGTGAGGGTGATGCTGCCTCTAGTCCGCATACTCCAGAAGAACTGTACAGAGTGACCACAGATGAGTGGCCCTGCTGACCTCATGGGGGAGACAGGGGTAGACAGAAGGTGTGGAGAGCAGTGTGGATGGGGAGGCAGGGGTTTTTTCCTGGAGCCTGGGCTGTAGACCTGAAGGGATCTGTTCCTAACAAGCTAGTTTCTCCAGTCAAGAGGATGGAGCTGGTGTGGCTTGTCAGAGGGTGGCCTGCGGTGATCACCTGATCATGATCTTTCTGGCTGGGAGGTTGATGGCTGCCTCTTGCCTCCTAACACCTGGCAGGCCTTGGCATCACCATGATCAGGTGAGTAAGCTGGGAGAACTTGGTTCCCCTTCAGGACATGTGGATGGGTGCACTCTCCTCTCTTATCTTCTGGAGTATCATAATCTCCTACTTGCTAATAGCTCCATCCTGGTCATTCGTTGGTGATGCTGGTGACAATGTTGATAGTGATGGTACTGTTGTTGTTGGTGGTCCCTTCTAGGCTTACGGACATCTACATGTTGAAGTGCACCAGGGATTTCTTCCAGTCTGGTAGCTGTCCATCCATCAATATGTTAATGACTGCCAATTATATTTCTTCTCCTCTGATCTCTCTCTTGAACTGCCATGTCATAAGTTCAACTTCTTACTCTCCAAACTTCTACTTGATGCCTCAAATTTGACATGTGATGAAACAGACTTGTTTATTTCACTCCCAAACCTGTCATCCACCATCAGTCATCTTATCTCAGTAAATGGCACTATGTCTACTCAGTTGCTTGCCAAAAACGTAGAAAACGTGTTTGATTCCTCCCTTTTTTCTAACCCCTGATTTCATTCATCGTTTCAAAATTGTATATCAAATTTGTCTGTTCTTTATCCTCCCCTGCCACTACCCCAGTTCAAGCCCCATTATCATGCATACAGAATACTGCAGAAGCCTCTTAACCAGTCTTTCTTCTATTCTTGTCCGCCTATAATTCATTCTCCAATCTACCACCCAACTGCTTATACCTTTTTCAATGGTTTCCAGCTGAACCTAGAAAAAAGTCTAAACTTCTTACCATGCCTACAAAGCATTACATAAGCTGCTTCTGATCACCTCTTACATCTTATCTCTTAGCATTTTTCCCTCACACACTACTCTGGCCTTCTTGAACAAACTAAGTTTCTGCCCCAGAACCTTTGCACTTGCTGTTGACACTACATAAAATGCCTTTCCCCTCAGCTCAAGCATCTCCTCCTCAGAAAAGCCTTCCATCATCTCTATGTCCTTAAACATCCTCTCCAACCTGTGACTTGTCTTTTCGCCTGATTTATTATGTTTCTTATGTACCTACTGATTTATCTTTGTGTCATCTAATTTGTCTATACAATCCTTTATAATTATGCTTTTCAATTCTTGTTTAAGAAATCTTGACCTAATCTGAGACTACTTTTCAGGTTATCTTTCCATATCTTTCCTATCTTATTGGATATCTTGAGCAATGGATGACCAGGAGGCAATGAGTAAATACTCTTTCTTCCATTTCTAAGATGAATAGTTTGAGGATTACTCTTTATAGCTTTTCAAAGGATTCTCAGCAGGATGGAGGTTCAGATGAGCACAGTGGCAACCAACACAATTGGCTTTCTCTCCTCCTCTTTCCCTCTTCCCAGTACTCCACTCGTGATCCTTGAGATGGTTTCAAAAATAAACTTTCTGAATATAGACACTTAATTTTTAGAGAAACCGGCTCAGACACCCTTATTTCTTTTCTCATCTAGATCTTTAATCTTTTGAAGTTCATTTTTTTGGTGATATGAGGTAGGGGTCTAAATTTTTTCAACATGGATAACCAATTTTCCTAGCTTCTCCAATAATGTGTGATGTCACATATGGCATGCATTATTTATTGTTTTCTTTTTAGATTATTCATTCTTTTATTCCAAATGTTAATTGCCAAAGCTGCTTAGTAGGGATAAATAAATGAACAAAATCTCATTGAGCTTACCTTCTAGTGGAGGGTATATAGATAATACACAAATAAATATGCAACATTTTAGATGGTGATAATACTGTAAAGAAAAATAAAGAGTAATGGAGGTACAGAGTGACAGAAACAGGCCATTTTACTTAGGGTTTCCAGAGAGACCCTCACTGGCAAACCAACATATAAGTACATATCCAAATACATGAGGGACAAAGCCACAGAGCTGAGGCTGAGAAGACCTTAGTGCAAAGGCTGAGACAAAACATGCATGTCCTTTTGGAGAATGGCAAGGTGGCCACTGGCTGGGGAAGTAGAGGTTAAAGAGTGGGAGTGGTTTGTCAGGGGCAT